CCAGAATCAGCGCAGACAGCCAGCTTCATATAACGCACGGGAAAACGAGAACGCTGCGTTCACGCAGAGACAGTGAAAGTGGCAACGATTATGAATAAGTCTCACGAAGATATGCATGACATAACTTTGAATGAAGGAACTACGCCTTCATGCTGTGTGAAAATTGGAGGGGTTTCAGTAAGTGCTTTGTTAGATTCGGGCAGTGCAGTGTCAATAATTGCGTATAGGCTGTGGGATAAACTTCGGGAACGTTATCAAAATGATTTCTCGCAGGGGAGTACTCAAATTTTAAATTCAGCTAGTGGTCATCATCTACTCGTTGTTGGGAGAATAACCTTGCCAGTAAGAATTGCTAACCAAATACTGTTTCAGCCATTTTATGTAGTTCGTGATTTCGCGCAAGCAGTATTGTTGGGATATAATTTTATGCAACAGCATAAAGTAAAGTTAAACTGTGGAGATAGTTTATTAACAGTAAATAATCAGACAGTGCCAATGAGCGCTTATGCTACGATTTCGTGTGAGCAAGTAACACTAAATAAGACTATAGTTGTGCCACCTAAAACTACGTGTCATGTACAATGTACACCAATGCGGTTTAACGGTTCTAAACAGCTGCGAACAGTCCCTTTGTATAATCCACAATTGTGTCCACAGCAGATTCAGAGTGGGACAGCGCTTAACCTCAGTACAACTTCTATGGTAACACCTGTGTTATTAAAGCTACCCATTACACATACGCACACACCCACTCATACGCAAACACCCACTCAAACGCACACACCCACTCAAACACACACACCCACTCGTTCGCACACACACACTCACTCGCACACTAAGTATTCACGCTCTCAAGGTTTCACTACACACTCAAATGTCACACCCAGTCAAGTGCCAACACATTTCAATGTTTAAGCGTCGCGCACTTTACATGAACGCACAAACACACACACCCGCTCGCTTATTGGGAATTCACACGCTACACGCAAGCCGCTAAGAACAATCCCGACCACAAGCGCGCTAAGAGTTTCACACGCAGTAAAATCCCAAGCGCTTACACATCGCGAGCTCGTCCATTTACCGCTAACTTCTACTAACAATGCGACAGCTGCGTCACTTCAAGCAACAGCAACCTTCTCATCCCGACCAGGACACAACATGCCGGTCAATACACGCAAGCAACCCAAACACGCACGCACGCACTCACAGATACCTACACCACAAATCAACACCACCCATTCATCTGAACCACACACAGCTGCTACGTTCACTCGCTCACCTAGTATCAATACACGTCGACTCGCAAGCACATACACCCAGCCGCTCGCATCCTCTTCAGCTAAGGCGGAACAGCTGCATAATCACCCTATTGTTGTAGGCGACCTTAGGCCGACATTTGTGCAAACGGTCAACACTTGTGTTGAACCCGTTCACAATGACGCCAAGCAGCTGCACAGTGGGAACAATAACGCCTCATTACACACCAACGAAGTCGCTCACGATAACAACACCGCCACCACAGCTAGTAAACAAGACATTCTGCACGCTTTAAACTTGCAGCATTTAAGCGAAGGACAGCGAACAGAAATTACATTGCTGATATCAACACATACGGACTTATTCGCAATAACAGACACGGATTTGGGACCAGGTACACACTTAGTGAGTATGACAATCGATACGCAAGGTCATACGCCGGTCGCACAGAAAGCATTTCGTACACCCATATTGCAACGAGAAGCATTGCAGGCACATATAGATAAGCTATTAAAAGCC